GAAAAAAGCCTATAATAAATAGATAGGAAAGTCATGAGCCGGACATATCAGATTTTTAGGTTTTCTTTCCATAAATAAGTTGCGATATTGTTCATTTGACAACAAAGCAAACAAGAGAATGAAATAAAAACAAAAAATACCTAAAACGTATAATTACAAAAACAATTTAAAAACTAACAACAACAACTAATTTGTGGGGCTTGATTTTGGTTTTTGTGACAAGTTTTCTACTTTTGTCACGAATTCAAAAACGTCTGTAGCTAATACTTGAGGTACTTCAAATGCGGCGAAATGGCCGCCATCTAGAATGTTCGATTGAAGCAAATTTGTGTATTTTTCTTTCAATAAAGATGGTGGTATAAGGGTTAAGTCATGTTTAAAAGCGGCACATGCACTTGGAACATCCGTTGGGATACTGAAAACATAAATAAATGCATAATGAAAATCAAGAGAAGACTTTAGTGCGTGGAGTTATCTAATATAATAATTATTCCATTATTTTTGTTTTAATGAAAATCGTTTAATTCTTCCTATCAGGTAATTTTATTTAAAAAATTTAAATAATTCTAGCAGAAGGGAATCAAGTTTAAAAAAATATATTTATATAAAAGTAATGGTAAATTACAAAGGCGTAGAACAGCCACAAATTTTTTTTTACAAAATCCGTCTTATGTCTTGGAATTCCAACTTATAGATCTGCTGTCAACGAATCAACAGGCCAAACACCAGCAAAGGTCCTGTTTGGGCGTGAGATGAGACTACCGTGCGACGTCGAGTTTGGAAGAAGAATGGACGATATGCATGAATTGGTCCGCTCGCATCTTCAAATCGCCAGTGACAAAATGAAGAAGCGATACGATATTCAAGCCACAGAAGGATGTTTCAAGAAAGGCGACAAAGTCTGGCTCCATAACCCAAGAAGACAAAAGGGTTATTCTCCAAAGCTTCAAAGGTCTTGGGAAGGCCCGTATCTCATGAAGAAAAGAATCAATGATGTCATTTACCGTATAAGTAAGATCCCGAACGGTAAACTAAGGGTAATGCACCAAAACCAGCTGGCGTCATTTGAGGGTGACCATGAAGAGGAAGAAGAAGTGAACCAGCTCCAAGAAACACCTGACCTTGTCTTTGAAGAATTTATGGGTGCACCGGAAAAGCAAGATATGGTGTTACAACTGAGCAACAACAAGACCTGCTCACGGTTCCTAAAGATTACTCGCTGGTCCATAGCACTTCCGTTAATATCTACGACGCCAGAGGTCTGGCATCTGTATTTCGGAAGAAGTTTGGTTGATTGCCAGAACTACAAGATCAGTTACCAGCTCCTGGAAGAGCATTAAAACATCAAAATGGATCGCGTTATCTTTTCTATTTGGTAACAAAGAACACCTATTAGGATGTATGGGAAGCATTACTCAGTCTGAGGGAGCATGTACTGGAGTCCAATGTACAAAAATTAGCCATGCCAAAGATGGAGAGCAACCAGCTAAATTGGAGGATCATTAGAAACATGGTGGAAGTAATCTTTCAAGATACCCAGGTTGAAATACTGGTCTGCAGCCATTCTCCCAGTGTTCAGGTTATAACGAAGACTGTCCCTTGTCACTTCCATGCAACTGGAAATTGTAAAAGAGGATCCAGTTGCAAATACAACCATTCAGTTTTAGTTCCAGGAGGAACTATTTCTTTAGGAGGATGAAATGTCATGAAATTCCTAAAGTCTACCCTGTGTAAGCGCGACCTTGGAAGTATGCCACTCGATTCATGATCGAAGCAATGCCGACGTCTGAAGACAGTCTCGAATATACAAAAAACGACGAAATCTTCTAGGTATGCCGCTGACGCTGACGGGATGGAATTTTCGGGAGTGTCTAGAAACTACGAGCACATAATTAATTGGCTTGGTATAAATAGCCGACTTATCGGCGATCAGTTTAGTTTAGAGCATTGTAATGAAAAGTTAAAGTGTAATAAATAAATCAGAATTGTTAGTTAGTGTCTAAGTATTAGTAGCATCTATCTACATCACAGTTCACGATTCAAGATTCCTCACACAATAAAAAAATATTTGACAGAAGCAAAAGCATGAGATCAATGCATAATAAATTAATATTATTTAAACATTATGCAACTGAATACGACAGTTATTATATCACCAGTTACGAAACGAAAATAAATACAAATGCCTCTTTTTCGAAAAAACCAAAAAGACAGTGAATAGTGACATTTCACATTTGAAAATTTGACATTACGTTTAACAACAAAAAAGAAAAAAAATAAATAAAAGCTGTAAATTGCGTTTCATTTTTTAAATAATTGAACTTCGTTATTGAAAATTGTTGGGGGTAAAATTTTGACGTACTCCTTTAAAGATAATGGGTAAAAACGTTTTTTTTTAAATTCGCGGGTAATGTCAAAAATTAGATCGGCAACACTGCACATGTCCCTTATTTTTATAATTGAAAAAAAAAAAAACGTCGTAGGGCAATCAAATACAACAATTTTCTGAAATATTTGATTAGAAGTACCTACAAAAGAATGATGGGGAATCATTTTCTAACCAAACATAATTTTATAATTAATCAATTTAAAATTAGAAAAAAATCTTGTATGTAACACGTTACGAAATGCCGTTTTGTGTAACTCGTTCATTTTGCGGGACCTCGCACCGCTCGTCTTTCAAATTTTTACTCGTTACACAAAATAAGGCATTTCGTAACTGGTTACCTAAATAGCTATTAATTGACTTCCTAATACTTTAAATCATCGAACAGTATTTTCCGCAAATAATTATATGATTAAATCATACATTATTACCGGCATATAAGTACTAAAACATGTTTTCTCTTCGAAGAGTAGGATTATGTCAAATAAACTTAAAATATAACGAAAAAAAGGTAACCCGTTTCTAATAAAATTTAATTATTTATTTTATTTTGGTGTGATCGTAGAAAAAATCTTGTGGGTAATTCGAGTAGAAAGTACTTTGGTTGTTTCGATAACTTTTTGCTAAAGTGTTACTTTCTGCTCTTAATACACAAATAGCTATTTTGGTACAATAATTTTATAAACTTTTACTTACTACCGTTGTGTTAAAATACTAAACAAAGATTAAAATAACATTTTTATATTAAAAAAAGAAGTTTAAATTACTAAACAGAGATTAAAATGACATTTTTACGTTAACAATGTCATTTTAATCTTCGTTTAGTAATTTAAACTTTGTTTAACACAACGGTGAAATCGACCCTAGCTATATATTGATAAAGTGTTATTGCTCTCATCATAAATAAATCGTGCTAACAAATGAAGTCAAAATAATTTTTCATCTTTTAGTTACCTACTAAAATTAGGTACTACAATACAAATATTTAAGTCCGGCCCAGAACATCTCCCTACTCCTTTCATCCAGTTTTTCGGTTTTGGCAAAATTCACGCAGCTGCAAATGCGTTACCTCTACCCTTTCTAACCTATTTGGTTATTACAAATCCCATAGGTTACGGTAGTTTATTTAAAACACCCTTTATATGTATCTTATAGTACCAAATACGTTTGCTGATTTTAGTAAAATTATATTAAATAATAAAATTATATCCACCTATTAAAAAAAGTTTCAATTTTCAACTAAAAACCTACTGAACAGTGACGTAACTTGTTTTTTCAAATTTTATATTAAAACATAAAACATAATATTCTGAAATATTTTGGTTTTAAGAATGGGTATTGGGTTTTCATTTCAAAAATAATGTGACTAAATTTCGGGAAAGTCTAGATATTAATAAAGCAGTTTAATTGCCATACACTGTTCAAAAGAAATTATTATAAAACAGAGTATTATGGTTGTGTTAGAATAGGTTAGATAACTAAATTTAAGACTATAAGAAACTAGTGTACTTCATGAAGATTATTTAAAAAATAAAGAAATTGTTAAAACTTTTCAGAGATAACCTAACAAATTTAATGTATAGCTGCTAAAGTGTGTATTTTGCCTACCTATCAATTTGTAAGCTCATAGTTGCCTTAGAAAAGCTTTCTGCATAAAGTCTTTGGGATGTGGTAATAGATCTGGTTACCCAGTAAATCATAATGTTGTCTAGTAAATTTTCCATTTTATATTTTTTTGTTAGTCCTCCATCTTCTAAATCTTTCCAATCGGGATTGGTCCAAGTTGTGAATTTTTCAAGAATGTAAGCTGCTAGACCTACTGGACTGTCTCGTAGGGCGACACCTAAAATAATATTCAGTACCTCTCATATTTATATTTTAATTTTATTTTTACCGTGCTGCGTAAAACATATACTTGTATTGTCTTATAAAGAACGGTCTATAGGTTTTACGAAATAAGTTCGATTTCTCATTTTGGGATGCCATATGTTTTGACAAGGTTGGATTGGTAACAAAAGTTTAAATTAAATGTTTATAGCTCTAGATTTATTTTTCGGAAAATGGCGTATAAATTGGAAATTAAAAAAACTAATATTTTTTATACCCACATGTATATTATTTATGTTATGCACAGGCTAGGGCAGCGGCAGGTTCACTATTGTGTATCGATATCTATAGTTAAGCAGGGTCGCCCTCAATTAGTACTTGGATGTGTAAAGAATTTCTAATAGATATTTGGCAACTGATAAGCGTATCAAAACATCTAATAAAGCAGACAGGTTTAGAGATTATTTTTACTGTTTAACAAACTTAAACATTTGGTGATCAAGCCAAGTTTACCTATTAATAAATGTAACTGACATTGACTGCCATTTTAAACAATATTTTCCAATTAGAAATTTACAGCAAACTTTTAAAATAATGTTACTTTGCACCCTGCTAGCCTGCGGCTGTTACAGGAAATGTACGAATAGAAGAAGTGTGCTGCGGTTGTCATAAGTAAAAGTACGATATCAAGAAGAAAAGAAAATAGTCTATAAATGGCATTCAGTGTCAAGAAACATCTGGATGGTTCGAGAAAATAAGTATGGAAGTATTCAAGGGCTTTGACAAAAAGAAGAATTCGTAGCCAAGCTTCAGTAAGCAACATTGAAGCTGAAATTACTAACTCGTCTTTATATATAACCGAACCAAGCCAAACTCGAGCCCCAGTTTCACAAAACCATACTAGCAAGACCCTTAAGCCACTAACGTTTAATGGTCAGACAACATGGGAAACATATACACTAAAATTTGAAGCTACAGCTAGAGCCAATGGTTGGGCCGAGAAAGAGATGAGGACTTCATTAATAGTGTCGCTGCGAGGACAAACAGCAACTGTTTAACAGTTGATTTCCCAAGGAGAACCCAGATATTCGTCACTAGTTCAAGTTTTTAAGACAAGATATGGCCAGCTAAAGGTTCGTAGTCAGAAACAGAATGAAAGTCTACAGGAATTCGAGACCAATATAAAAAATTGCTGTATCTGCTTATAAACAGACGCCCAAAGATTTCCTAGAAAAAATCAGCATTCATTGATGGACTACAGGACGAGGTAATGCAACAGGATCTTCGGTTAATACAACACCACAAGTTATTGAGTGAGATACTGATTGATTGCAGCCCAGGAATACGAAGCAGCAAAAATTATATCTAGATCTTCTCGCGCAAAATTGAGAGAAATTGGGTTCCAGGAAAGTGAAGAGACCTACTAATACTATCCCCGAACCTACCCTCTCACAAATCTTAAATATCCTTCAAAATATGCAACGAAATAGCTGATATGAGAGCAGAAGATGTTTCAATTGCGAAAGAATCGGACACCTTCCAATAACCTGTCGAAACAAAGGTCGTTCTATGAATCGAGAATCGGGGAATGAAGCCAAAAATTAACCTAGATCAACCTCTCGAAGAAGAAATAATTACAGCAGATATGCCTCCCGGAGAAGTCGCTCTTTTACACCTAGCCTGCTTTCTAGCAATAATCAGGAAAACAATAAGGTCAATACTACGGGGCAGGCGTTGACTGTAATAGAGAGCCCCAAAATTCGAACTTACACTTTAAATAAAAACGAACAAAATTTATTCTACGGGTAAAGCCACCACAAGTAACTCAGTTGATGCCAGCTTTGTGAAATAGCTGACAGCTGAAGAACTTACAAGTCAACGAATTTATCAATACCAACTGTGACATTTTCGCGACAGGAAAATCTACGAGGCGTATCAGTCTTCTCCAGCATAAATAATTTATAAATAAGAAAGACGGATCTCCTCGTCACAGCTATCCACCCTTCCTCCAAACGATAAAAGGGAAATTAGGAGTTTTCTTGGACTGTGTTCATATTACCGGAAATTCATCAAAGACTTTGGCTGAATTTCTAAGCCCCTGAAAATAGTAATCTATTTGATTGGACGCCGGATTGCTAAAATGCCTTCACCGAGTTGAAAAAGCGATTTACCACGGCACCCATCCTAGCCTACCTTCGGGAAAAAAGAATTCATTTTGGACTGCGACGCTTCCCAACACGGCGTTGGCGCGCCGTGCTATCCCAAGAACAGGAGGGGAAAGAGAAAGTAATTGCGTATTTTAGTAGTAAGTAAGCTGAGAAGAATTATTACGTCACTAGGAAAGAACTTTAAGATATTGTCAAAGCCCTTGAACACTTCCATACTTATCTTTTTAACAGCAGTTTTATCACTACAAGTGACCAATACCATCAAGCAGAGGCTGATGAATTTTAAAAACCTGAAGGACAAGTTGCTAGATGGATAGAAATACTACAATATAATATCGAGATAGTGCTACCATTTAATATTTGGAGCCAAGCAATGAATTATTTATTTAAGGTATTGAGATATTAAAGACTTCCAGTCTACTGAGACATTTTCCACGAGTAGCTTCTCTAAAAATAACAAAAAAATGTCTTCATTGTCAAAAACTAATTATTTGACTCTCTTGAATCTAAATGAAATTAACGCATTGTCGCCACAGGAAATGGCACAAGATTACGAAGAATTTACTAAAGAATGGTATCGTTTAATATTAAATGAAAAGGACTTTAATTTACTTGCTTGTGCTCCAAATATTAAATGGCATTCTATTTGTCAATGTCATCTAATAGCAGACGATGGTAGTATAGCACATGAACATCTTCATGCTTTAATACATTTTACTAATGGATTCACAATGTTAGCCTACAAGAAAAAACTACAGCTCCTATGATTGAACGTTTACGTTATCCGTAACGTACATGTTAGACCGACTTTTAACAGTAACGAGTCAAGTTCGTATGCTGGAAAACTGTTAAATTAGAACATAACAGGCGGAAAATAACAGTAATGTGTTTTAAAAAGTTTTCCATCGTACGAACTTGCCTCGTTACTTTTAAAAGTCGGCCTAACATGTACGTAAACGTTTAATCATAGGACCCACTGTCGGGTAAGTTTGACAGATGTTGGCAACACTGGAATGAACGATGACGGATGTTAGGTTGGCAACACTGTTAATAGATGACATGACAGGGCTGGTACTCCGTGTCATGTAGAATTCTACTTATCGTTTTCTACAATAGAAATCGATTACTTTCTTTTGCAGAAAACCAACGAGTATATACCTACTACAGGATAACTAGTTTCATAAGAAACCACATTGCGATATTTCCTGTGCCGTTGATAACGTATTCATCACAAAAGAAAGTAATCGATTTCTATTGTAGAAAACGATAAGTAGAATTCTACGATACAGAGTACTAGCCCAGGTGTATTGCTAACGAGCGAGAACTGACGTGTGACCTTGAAATAGACAAAAATTGGCAGAATGGACCTTAGCGATTTCCCATGTTAATTTACATAAGAAGTGCGCTTGAACTGTTGCTGCTCCTTTACTACAAAGGTTCACTATGATAAAAAACTGTTTATAGAACATTAGTAAATCTATTAAATCAAACACTAAATTTTAAGATAAACACTTACTCCTAACACCCCCCTCGATTTTAACTATAGATGCAGAGTGTCAAATCGAATTAACGTCAAATCTTGTACCATTTATTTCAATTTCAGTTTTTCAGAGGTTTAATAAACATATCTGCTAAATTTTCTTCTGAAGGGACATAATCAAGATCTTTAATAAAATGTTCTTCAATGAAAATGTTTGGTTCTTTTTGAATTTTAAAATTATTTTACTATTCGCTCCGTGCACGACAGCAGCGCCAATTTGTTTTGGCATTAAAGAACTATTTCTGCCTATACTGACAAATACAATTTTTAATAAAATTCGTAAATGAAAAGTATATATGTTAGTTTTAATAAAAGTATATGGATTTGTAAAACAAGTAAAACATTAATTTATTATTATTATATATTTTTCCCGCTTAAATTAAAGAAAATTATGAATAATCAATAAAAATCAATAATAAAATATAGGCAGGCAACAGTATTTACTGGAAAATGTGTGAGAAGTTGCCTAAGTCTAATAAGTTGTCATTGAAGAATTAGCCTATTCTATCAAAATAAAAAATACCATTTAATAATAGCGTGAAGTTAAAATGTATAAAAAAGGATCGTTATTTATATTTTCATTTTTGTTCGAAAGAAAACATAGAATGAATGATTAAAACTGGTTTTCCATCAGTCAAAAAATTGCATTCCAGTCACATATTATAATCAAAGGCAGAAATCTTGAAATCTAGTCCTTGCTGAATGAACATTTAAGAATAAAGGGATATTAAAGAACATCGTAAAATGATAATTTATTGTTTATTTAAAACCTTTCAAGTTTCTGATCTCTACTATTTCCAGCATTACTGTTATTATCACACAAATAAAGGTAATTTTTCGTCTTATTGTACACCTATCAGTTTATTTCTTTGATTTAATTTCCACTTTGCTAGTGAAATTTTTTATATAAGTTTCACTGTTTTTTTTGCTAGTATTTGTACAATTTTCAACACAGCAAGTCCGGTTGCTTATTGTGTTGTTTTTACCTACTTTTTTGAAAAAAAGTAAAATGTATACGTGTATTTGATATGCGAAAATTACAAAATATCGCCCTAAAATGCACAAATTATCCGCAGCTAGCGCTAGTATCGCTTTTGCTTCCCTTTCCATGACTTCGCACGGAGCGAATAGATATCTACGAGTAGAACATCAGAATCAATGGGATTATGAAAATTTCTAAAATTCCTCTTAAATATACCAGGTCTTGAGCCGATTGAGCTGCGGATACATATTCAACTTCAGCTGTAGATAATGCAACATAATTCTGTTTTTTAGATCCCCAAAACACTGCATTACCTTTAATAATACAATATAACTAGATACACTTTTTCTCTTTAGTGTCTCCGCCTCAGTCTGCATCGAAGAAAGCTTTTAATTTCCAAATTTCCTCTCTTTCTTACTTAATGTAAACAAGACTTAATGCTTTAGTATTTTGTAGATATCTTAGAATTCTCTTGGCGGCTGTACAAGATTTTTTTGTTGGCTTATGCAGCACTTTGCTAAGATTTTACGTGATATACACTATATCTGGTCTACTAGTCATCAAGTTACTTATATGGATCATCCTTAATGATTTGTTACTCATCTTCATGGCTAAAACCAACTTTCATCGATGGCCTGCAATCCAACATCTCAAATTTTTCCAAAATGTTGTCCATAAAGTGAGTTTGATTAAGCTGTAGCGTGTCTTCTCCTCTAAAAAGGTTTCTACTTCGCCTATGTCTCTGGCTGAAAATTTAGTTTTAAAAGCAGCAAACTGCATCACTTTTTCCAATCACCAATAAGCCGTCAACGAAAACTACTACCCAAACATATTTATTATAATAAAGGTAAACATCGTGCAAAAATCTGTTTAATCCTTGATGCTGTACAAATTGATTAAAGGCATTATTCCAGCATTTTGGTGGTTCCTTCAGTCCATATAAAGATCTTTTCAATTTGAGTACCTTGTTGGTAGATCTTGGTGATAACATACCTTTTGGATATTTATTGTATACTTAATTTAAATAGACATTGAGAAACGCTGTTGGAATATCAAATTGACGAAAAGGCATATTATCTTGAATTGCTCTAACCAAAAACATACGTATTGTAGCCATTCTGGCTATAGGTGAATATAATTTGTTGTATATAATGTATTCTTGAATTTGTTGAAAGCCTTTTGCTACTGGATGTGCCTTTTTTATGCCATTTTCTTTAATCTTAAAGATCAATTTTGTATCAGTGGCCTTCTTATCTAGACGCAAGACTACATGATGCCACGTTTCATTTATATGTAGAGCTTCCAGTTCTTTGTCCACAGCTTTTTGCTACTTAGGAAATTTTATTGTTTGCTCATATGTTTCAGGATGATTTTCATTTGCTATTAGACAGTATGCTGAATATACACTATGGCCCAAAATAAACAGTACTAACGTAGTAGCACGACTACCAGATCCCACCTTTCCAAACACATATGACCAAAGAAGTGATCTTTAAAAATATATCACAAACCTTCAATGAATTAAAGGAAGTTATTCGAACTTTCAAGGAGAAGGTCTATATAATACGTATTTTTTAAATAAATAAAAGAATTATAAGTTCAGTACTGTTTATTTTGGGCCATACTGTAATTTAAATTCGTCAAATTTAATTGGTACTTTTCTTGTTCTTTGAGGTCTTTCTATTGAGCCACTTGGTGTATCTCTAATCGTTTCTTTATCAGTTTTATTTTCACCTTCTTCCATTTCTTCGTGATAATTTCATTTTCTAAATAGTCAATATTACTTTCATCAAACCTTACGCCTCTTGATACGAAAATTTCATTGGTTTTAGGTTTCCAAAGTCTATGAACTCCTCCTGCATATCCTACTATTTGAACTTCTTTAGCTCTTGTCTCAAGTTTGTCTGCTTTTGGAAGTTTATAAGTATATGCTTTTGACCCAAATTTTTTAAATTTGTTTAGGTTGTTTCTTCCTCAACATCTTTCTACAGGTGTATTATCTTCTAATACATTTGAAGGCGATCTATTTAACTGATATGCAGCTGCTGATAGCTGCGGTAATTGCTGTATTCTCCAGACATAATTTTTATTTCCCTTTTTATATTAATCGTAGACTGCCCATACCCTGATGTACTTTGTAGAAATGAAATGGATAATCTTTTCTTTTAAATTATTATATATTGTAGTTACAAGTGTACCATATTTTTTTTATTTACCATCGAAGATTCCATGAATACCCTGCTACCATTACAAAGGCCTGCTGCTACAGGTATTACGTATAGCCAAAGTATTATATTTTTGTTGGGTGTGTTATAGATTTACAAATTTTGTCTTTATGCAAAGGTTGAAGGGTTTATTTATTAGGATTAACTTTAACATACCTAAGCTGTTCTCGTACTTACCAACAGTGTCTGGTTTAGTAGCTTGAATGTGTAAATATCCAGTTTCCAAAAACAAATTTCCTATTTTTTCCATTCTTGGATAAACCAAATGTTGATGTTCCTCTTCGATAATTAAAGAGGGATAGTAACTGCCCAAAGCTAATTTAATATTCGATAAGGGTGTGTTAACGAAACACATATTTGAGTGCATTCCAATTATTTTTTCTGGAAAAAATACAGCCAAAGAGGAAACTATAATTCCTCCCCAATCTCCGCCTTGAACGTAGAACTTTTCGAAACCTAGGCGGGTCATCAGGTTTTTGAAAATTACTGCCATTTGGTGAGTGTTCAATCCGGGAACTTCGGCAGCTTCGGAGAAACCATAACCTAAAAATAACGAAATGAATAAGTTGATTTAATTGCTTTACAACGCGGGTTATGTAGTGTACTTTTTCTGTGATTACATGGAATACTTGTCATATGGTAACTAAATACATATAATATTTTAATTTGCTTGCTTTTTGAAAAATAAATAAATATACAAAAAAATATATGATAATAGCATGATAACTACTACAAAGGACCCCGCATTTTCCTTGTGTAAAAATCTCACTAATTTTCCTGTGTCGTCAGGGAATCATAATAGTTTCAAAAAGTACTACACAATATGGTATTTTGGTGACAAAATATTACACAACACATATTTCTTATAAAAAGTGTTTTATAGAGAAAACCACAACATAAAATTATATTTGTTTTTAAGGAATAATTGAAAATCATGTTTTTGGGAAAGGTAATACTACTTACTAAAATATTGGTAGTTCTAAACTTCAAAATATACGAGGCTATTTATTTGTTGGAAGATATTCTAATTTAAGAAAAGTACAAAAATTACTAAAAGTTCACCACTCAAATGTAACCATTTTTTTTCAGTATATGGTAATTTTTTACAACCGTCTTAAGAGATGTTAATTTTAAATTTATTATTACCAGTTTTCGAGATACAGGGCGTTAAAGTGGAGAATGGCTGATTTTAAGTTTTAGTCGGATATCCATAGTTTAAAATATTTACTGTTACAGAATGATTTACAAATAAATAACAAAATATTTTTGCAAACACTCAATAATTTGGTAATGGTAGAGGTAACATAGAAAGCATTTACCGTTGCGCGAATTTTGTCAAATCCGAAAAACTCGGTGGAAGGAGTCGGAAGATGTTCTGGGCCGGACTTAAATATTTTTATTGTAGTAGCTAATTTTGTTATATGTTAAAAGATGAAAAATTATGAGAAATTCTTTGACTTTATTTGTTAGCAAGATTAATTTATGATGAGGGCAATTAGTCTAATCAACAAGTTCAAAAGCGTGTTTTTGGGACATACTATTACGAAAATTATGTTCAATAGCTCATTCGATTCGGAATAATGTCCAGATCAATATGTGAAGAAAAATTTTGCAGTGCATAAAAAATTGCAAAAGTTATAAACAATTAAACACTTCAAAAACATGGTGATTTGTTTTTCGCCTATAGTTTGTAAACTATAAATATTTTTGGATTTTTCAAAAAAGATCCTTAAAGAGGAGGAAATTTGCTATAAATAAGTTTCGACTCCCGGAACTGTACCTCCATTATTTATCATTTTAATTAACCGCTCAAAGTAGCCTTCCGCGCGTCGAAACCGAGTACGTTACATAAAATAATTTTTTTAAGTTAATAAAATTAAACTTAAAAATTTATTAAAATTACGGTGTATTCTAAATACTTAGAAGAATTCATTCCCGTTGGAATTTTTCATAAAAATTAATTTTCCAACAAAGTAGGTTATTGTTAATTAACAAAATTTTTAGAATTTCTCTCATCATTACAAATTGATAAAAATATTAAATAATTACAGTAAATTTTTTTTGCTACGTGGAGCTCTTTTTATATATATATATAAAAGAAAATAGCTTCATAAAAGTTTAAAAAATGTTAATACTTTGTTTATAATAATTTTTTAAAGTTTACAGAAACAGAAAAGTCACAGTGGTGCTTTTTTTCAATTTATTATAATATTACTATTTTAATGTCGAGAAAAGACATTTATTAATTAAAAAAAAATTTTTTTCCTCCATTTGTTTATAAATTTTTTATAAACAAATGGAGTATTTCAATTTTTTTAAAATTTTTTTTTACAACTTTCTAGACAATTGCCAATTATGATTTAAAAAAAAATATTTTCTTAATATAACTTTTAATTGTTTATAATCGTTTTTTAAATATATCTATTGTTCAAATTATTAGTTAAGAAATGTGTTTTTTTTAAATCATAATTGACAGTCCTCTACAAAGTGACAGCAAAAAATTTTTTTTATTAATAATTCTTTTGTTTATTAAATTAACAATTTGTTATAAACAAATTCCCAACTTTGGTTTATTTTTTCCTGAAAGAAATAAAAATTCCAAAAACGACTTAGGGCATTAAAATTACGGAAAAAATTTTATTCCATTTTGTATTAAACTTTGAAAATATACGTACTATCAAAGTTGCAACAGCTGATCCATTTGTTGACTTAAAAGTTGATAAACCTTTTAAACTATTGGAGATACGACAATAAACATTCATGTCATTTTTGTAGGCAATGAAATTATCTCTCATATAAGTCATTTGTCAATTCCGTACCTATTGTCAATTTGTTGTTTTTTGTATATATTTATAAAAATTTATTTTTTTTTTAAGTTTAATAAAAAATGGAATAAAATTTTTTCCGTAATTTTAATGCACTAAACCAAAGTTGGGAATTTGTTTATAACAAATTGTTAACTTAATAAACAATGGAATTATTAATAAACAAATTTTTTTTGCTGTCACTTTGTAGAGGACTGTCAATTATGATTAAAAAAAAAAACACATTTCTTAACTAGTAATTTAAACAATAGATATATTAAAAAAACGATTATAAACAATTAAAAGTTATTGTTAAGAAAAATTTTTTTTTTTAAATTATAATTGGCAATTGTCTAGAAAGTTGTAAAAAAAAATTTGAAGAAAATTGAAATACTCCATTTGTTTATAAAAAATTTATAAACAAATGGAGGAAAAATTTTTTTTTTAATTAATAAATGTCTTTTCTCTACATTAAAACAGTAATATTATAATAAATTGAAAAAAAAATTGTTTTTATAGCACCACTGTGACTTTTCTGTTTTTGTAAACTTTAAAAAATTATTATAAACAAAGTATTAACAGTTTTTAAACTTTTATGAAGCTATTTTGTTTCATATGTATATAAAAAGAGCTCCAAGAAGCAAAAAAAAAATTACGATAATTATTTAATATTTTTATCAATTTGTAATGATGAGAGAAATTCTAAAAATTTTGTTAATTAACAATAACCTAACTTTTGCAATTTTTTATGCATTGCAAAATTTTTCTCCACACATTGATCTAGACATTATTCCGAATCAAATGAGCTATTGAACATAATTTTCGTAATAGTATGTCCCGAAAACACGCTTTTGAACTTGTTGATTCGACTATCGTTTTATAATGATAATTAACGCACTGCGGCAGCGCCGTTAATAATAATTGATCATCTATGTCGAAACCGCAAGTGCGCAAACACAGAACTACAATGTGGACACTTGACGATCTTGACAAACAGAAGAAACATAAAAAGCAACGTTCCTGAAACAGCATAAGCGCGATCACGAGCACGAGCGTTAGCACGAACAGATGAAATGTGGACCCACCTTAATAGTTACTACTATGTCCCTACAATACATCGTAAGCCTCATCACTATTAAAAAACCTCTCTATTCTATTATTTTAAAAGGCGAATGTAAAAGTGAAGGGCAATAGGTCGGAAACCACAAAAAATAATTTCAGTGCAATATATCGTAACCCTAGCAAATTGTTTATCTGTTGTGAGTGCTCTACCAAAAAACGCTGCAAAAGTATAGTTAGTTAAATATTTTTAACAGTTTTTTTTGTGTCATACATAGAAGGTATATTTTTATCATAGACATAAAAATATCATAAACTATAATTTTCTAAACTGTGTTTATTGATTTATTTTTTGGAACAATATGCAAATTCATAATCCTGTAAAATTTACTGTTATGGGGATACGACCTATTGCGCCTAAGCCATTGTTACAGAACATATTTGAGTCATGTTTTCTATTCAAAAATTTTATGAAGTAACAAGAATGCAATACCTATATTTTTTAACAAACATTTTCTTTATAAAATAAACATTTTTAAATGAGTATTATGTTGTTTCTTTTGACGTCTAAACACGTTATCTGGTGTCGTATTTATCACGTCGCTGTGACATCTTTGACCTGTGATATATTATCGTCTTAATCACGTCACCAGCACGTCATAAATTTGGTGATTTCGACGTGATGTGTATTTCACGTGAAAATCACGTGTCTGTGCTAGCTGGAATGCTACATCAAGTCAATCTAGCTTTTCAGTTTGAAGAAAAAATAAATAAAATCATCTCGAAAACTGGTAATATTTTTGGATTTCAAATTCATATCTCTTAAAACCGTATTAAAATTATTATATATTGAGAAAATGGTTACATTTCACCGGGGAAATTTTAGAATATTCTATAGCCGCCAACACCCGGTATTCTTTCTTATTTAGACACCCGGTACATAATGTGTTAAATAAATCACAACTCTTTTATATCGGTGTTTTATTTTCAAGAAAAACAAGAAAGCCAAGATCTTGACGAACATCACAGCTGCCAGTTTCTTTTTCTGATGTAAGGGAAAAAGCGAATGATATCTCAATAAGTCGAAGGGGCATTGAACCACATACTTTGATTTTCTTTTACTATACGGAGAATGGTCGCACTGCGCAGCTTTCTGAGTGCCTTTTAAAAGGAGATAGAAAACTTCGCCATTTTGAACCCTTATTACGTGTTGCCTACATCTTGGCGCAATTTTTAATAGGTGCGTTTTAATCATCCGCTTCTGCTTCGGAATTGTCGGTTTTCTTGTTTTAATCTGACAGGTTAGAACGACTGAACCGACAATTCCGGAAGCAGAAGCGGATGATTAAAACGCACCTGACATTTTGCTTGCTGCTGTCAGTGTCAGTGAATATTATTTTTGGAGTCACAGTTTATTGCTAAAGAATCAGTTAGCTCACTCGGACCAGTTGAAAGTTCCAAAATAACATCCACTCTAGAGATACAAATTCAGGATACGCAGAAGACTGCTGTTTTATTGTAGGCGGTTGTAATATATTGTATTATCTGAGTTGCGCAGTGTATAAACTAGAACATTGAGATAAAAAGTGCCGACGCAGAGTGAGCGATCTGATTCTTTAGCTATAAACTGTGTCATAGGGTTCAAAATGGCCGCGCCCTATGTTGGGCGTGTCGGACCTC